CTTTGTCCGTCTGCACAGACAGCTTTGTCTCTCCTTTTTCTCTCTCTCGATCTGTTGCTCTTTCACCCGCAGCAAGAACAATTTGGAGCAGTGCTGAAACTTCTGAGCAAGCAGAAGGTAAGTGGAAGCCGTCGATACTTTCAAAATGCCAAAAAGTGTTTTGTGGACACATGGAACTGAAATACTATGTGAAAGGAAAGAATTGTTTGTGCATGGGAAAGTATCTGAAAACTTTCATAGTTTAAAGCTGCCTTCACTGGGTTAGCCAGCCTGTTGGAAAATGTGCTTTTGCATCTTTGTTTCAAGTCTGTCAATCCACTAGTAGTATATCTGGACAGGGCATGTTGAAAATTAATTCAATGAATATTCAATAACTTACAGACTTTAATAATCTAGAAGAAAAATGTTTCAATTCAGAATCACAATCTTTTAGAAGGTTTGCTGAATAGAATAATGTCACCATTTTGAACTAGATTTGTTTAAATGTTGTTGGTAAGAGAGTTCAGTGTCCATTCACTCCTTATGCAGAACGTCACATCATTAAACTGCAAAAACAGGTATCACAGGCTGGCATGCTGCAAAGGCTAATATTTTCAGTTTCATTCTGTCCTTGACCTCTGTACTCAGACTGCCACAGGGGAACAGTTGTGAGGGTGACAGCGTAACGTAGTTGTCCCTTACAAAGTACGCGGAGCTCCTTGGCTTGGTTCATGCCGTTTGTTCTCCTGTTAATATGAGCTTGGTTCCACAGGGCGCTGGCTACGCTTAGATCCACTGAACTGTGCACAGAGCATTCATTCCCTCCAAATTCTGCCTCTAAGATTTTAATCACTGATAGTTGTGAATGGCGCTCTATAAATAAATAACCATAAGAAGACAACAGAAAGTCTTTCAATCTGTACGGAGTTTGACTGGAAATGGATGCCCCATCTCCTCTTACCAATTCTTTGAGCCAGCTGTCTCCTAAGAACTAGTCTTATACTTGTAACCACAAATAAAATTCTAGTTTTAAAATATTTAAAGCTTTAATGTTGCAGTGTTAAAAATGTTTTAAATAGTTATTTTATTCTCGTTCCTTTTTTATTACAAAGTCATAAACGAAGCCAAAATAGCTCCTACAATGAAAGCTTTTTTCTGCCATTTCCTCTAAAAATCTGACCTTTTCTGTGTATTTTCTATCACTATTCCTAATGGAAAATATTGCATTCATTTGCAGGCTATTCATGTAAAAAATATTTTAATCACAGAATCAGTGTCAGAAATTCAGCCTTTTTTTGGACTTGGAAAAATTCAAAGCTAGCAGACTTTTTCCCATTCAGTTAAATACAGTTCCAAGAAATATGTACTGGATTTTAAAAAACTCTATAGATTCAAAATATGCTACCAGTTTCAAACATCAGAATGGGAAATCGTATATGAAAATTTTCAAATTGGGGGTTGAACTTAGCACAATTTTCGTCAATTTATGCTTTGCATGACAAGTTATTTCCATGTTTATACATCTTTTAAAATTAATTGTCTAAGCTTTCCAAGAACCCAGGAATCATTTGCTGCCATTGGCTTGTTCTGTGTACATTGCTGCGAATCAATTGACATCCTGGCCCACACTCTGTTCCTTTCTGTTTGCATGAGAAGTACAAATCTGCAAGGGCTGTATCCAGGTCTTGGAGATCTGGAGGAGGATCACTCTCTGTGGCATCGTTTCTCAGTTGATCCCATAGCCCAGGTCAATGCAATTGATTATTAACTGAGCCAGTTTACACTGTTTTTTGAGGTTACACAGTTGTGCTGGCATAGCTACATGTGTTAAGACTGAGAAAAAAATTCACCTTTGACTTGCTGTATCTATGCTACTCTGCCGTCAACCTTCCATCCCTCCTCCGGTACCCTCTCTATCTAGATGTAACTGGCTTGGGCAGAGAAGCCTTTTTGCCTAAAAAGCTTATGCCATTGAACCAAATAAGTGCTTTAGCTATATCAGCAAAAGGACTTCAGGCAAAAGAGGTGTAGAGCTAAACTTTTATAATGTAACCTTCAAATTGTACCAACTTACTTTTCTGCATTTGAAATCTGACTTGGAAATACTGGTGTGACTTCATTGTAGCTGTGCTGCCACAAATCCACAGTGGTAATAGTTCTAGAGAAGAGTTTTCTCAGGCTTTGCCTAGAATTTGTAGAGACCCCAGACATGAGGAGCTGAAAGAATTAAAAGTTAAAATGAGGAAGTTGCTGCTGGGCGTCTCCACCAGATATAAGTTGCCAACAGAAGTTACATATTTCTGATATATTCTTGTTGATTACCCCAGATTGGTTTAAAAGACCATAATGGCTCTTGCACATATTTAGAGCTAATCTTATTATTTACAGAAGTAATTCTTTTTTTTTTTTTTTTTGGTGAGACCTGGATGATTGGTCTCTTGTCTGTAACACTGCTGAGGACAACATGCAGTAAACATAATAGCAGTAGTGACCTACAATTTCAGAGGTGGCCAGGTCTAATCAGATCTGGATTTATTTGGGTGTGTGACCTTAGACTCTTTGGAAAACCTCTATGATGCAATTTTCATGGATACTTATTTTATTGACAAAATATTACATGAATAGACTTGATTCTAAAAGAACCTCTTTGGGATAATAATGCAGAATACAGATTTTTGAAGAGGTCAAAATTAAGAGAAATTATAATATTTCACAAATTTGAGAATAAAGAATTGTTTGCTTTGGTATTAAAAAAAAGTAACAGATTCAAAGTTTATAAATTAAGCTATAGTCCCTCTTCTTGCTATCAGTCATGTGAGACACTGGTTAGAGCAAATCCATATTGATTTTGACCTTGTAAATATGGTAAATTAATGTATATGACTAGTTTGTGTCATCATGTTTTGTAGAAGTGTGTGTATATCACCACTGTTATCACCATTGCCAGAGGTTGTAGTGGGCTTTTACAAACTGCTAGAAGGATACAGATTTCTGTTTCTCCTCAATCTATATAGGAACGGGCAAACTTGAAAATCTCAGTTTAAAAATGGAAAAGTTGGCTTATTGAAAGACTATTTTCAATTTTAGGATAATTAATATACATCAACTTTTTCTGTTTACCTATGTTAAATAGTTTCTTACTCTAAATAGAAGTTTAACATTAAAGATAGTGTAATGTTTGGTGTCTGGTGATATCCAACACAAGGAATCAAAGGCTTCAGAACAGACTTGGAACAGCCCTGAGCATTTGTCATTTGAGAAAGTGAGCAAAAGTATGCCACTCTCAATGCAAAAGGCTCCAGCACAAACCAGAAAAGAAAGAATAAAAGAGAACTCAGACTATTCCACTGGTTGAATTACATATGAAAAAAGATTGCCAAGGGCAGCAAGAGTAAAAAGTTTAATATTTTTATGAATATATAGACAGAATGGAAGGTTGAAGTAAGTTTCTGGGAAAGGCCATGCTGAATAAAGTGTTTTGTTTCCATATATAAGCTACTATTGTAGTATTTTCTATGCTTCGCAGGTATCTCCCTATTTGAATTATATTTTTGGTTAATTCATAAAGTAGTAAACACAAATCCTTCAACTAACAGGCTTCTACTCTTATTCTTTCAAAATTTGGAGGTGAAATAAGTAGGTGAACTGCTTCTCTTGGTAATCATCATTCCTATCTTGCTCTGGTTACAAATCTGGAAAATAATTAACAGGTTTTCTCTAATGCTTCCTAAAGATGTTGAAACTATAGAACAAATATTGACCAAGAGGCAGCAAAACTTGCCTGGACAGGAGAAAAAATAATGGTTTATATAACTGATAACAGATTGCCAAAAAAGAAAAAGAAATTCTGGAAACTTTGATTTGCAATTCATGTGAAATGGGCCAGGAATGGTGCATACATGCACGTGGGTATTCACAGGCTGCATGTACACACTGGCACCTGTGCAGCACCCTTTTGCATTCCTGAAGACTTGCAGGAACCCCAGCTCTTGTCCCCCGGAGCTGGTCCAAGACAGCTTTTGGGTCCCTGAGCCATCCTTTGAGAAGCAAGAAGGAACAGGTTGTAAGGCCCTGGAGAGGCTCTGGCATGACCAGGTTTCCAAAAATGTTAGCAAAAAGCTGCAAGTATGATGTTTGCCACTGTTATCGGGGGAGGGAGGGAAGGAATTTGGGGAAGGGGTGGAGGAAACAAGCCTGCACCTTGTAACTGGATTGAGCGCATTGGGCAAGAAGGACTTTGGACTGGTGCGTGGAAAACGACAGCAGAGGTAGAGGCAGCTTGCTCCCCCACACGGAGGACACAGGGCACCTCTCCTTCTCTTTGTCCTCCCCAAACACGGGAGCACCCTGTCCCCTAGAAATGAGCCCTGCCTTTTGGTTAGGAAGAATGGAGAAAGGCATTTGCTTCTAGCACCCGCTTAGCTATAGGTTGGGGTCAAAGACCGCCTAAGCCTGCAGGGAATTACGCAAGGGGTTGTTGTGAAGGGGCCCTGGCCTGTGGAAGGCATCAGCCCACCTCCCTACTCCCCCCTCCAACCTGACTATTTATCCCAAGGGATTGCGAAAGCCCCAGGGCTACATAAAGCACTGCCTGGCTGGGCGGCCTGGCCGCTGCCACCAACACTTGAACTCTTGAGAGGCTGCAGGGACTGGCACCGTCTGTAAGGGATCTTGCCACATTGGGATGGGGTGGCCAGGCCCCTTTCCTGTGAATGCATCAGGGAAAGCTGTGGGATGCCCCAGGAGCCATCAGGGTTGCCCTCCTCTATTCTGTCAAGGTGCTTGACAGAGCCCCTTTCTGACGCTGTTCTCTGTTTGCTGTTGCTGCAGGGACGGGATGGCCCACGCAAGGAGAGCCCCGGCCTGGCTGCTGCTACTGGTGCTGGCCTTGCTGGGTGGCAGCACGGCAGAACGGGACTGCCGAGTGAGCAGCTTCAAAGTCAAGGAGAACTTCGACAAGAGCAGGGTAAATCTCCTCTCTTTCCTGGATCTGCGAGGTCTTTCCTAGCTCCTCTCTCCGGGCTACAAAATTCAGCATTCGGGAATACCACTGTATTCACATTTTCACTCACAGTCACAGATTGCAACATGGAGAAACAGCAGGTGTGTGTGATGTTACCTGCACCTTCACAGTGCTGGATCCTGATGCCTCACAGGAATACTGCTGAATCTGACGTTTAGCGGACTGGTCTCAAACTGTATGGTCTAAACCGAAAAGAAGTGTAGCAACTCAGTTATTTCTATGAAAAATTAATATTCCAGTGTTTTCCAGAAAATATTGCAAGGAAAGGATATATTTATGTGTAAATCTGCAAAGATCCTGCCAGTTTTTATCCTCTGTCTACCAAGTTTTGTATTCTGAATAGCAAAAAAATGCAGATATGAATAAGGTACCAAAAAATGACTGTACTTTCACAAACCCTTTCTGCACTAGGACATATTGGTGGGTTTATGCTGTTGCAACAGCGAGATTTGTTTTTTAGATACAGCTTTGAGGTATGGGGTCAAAGATCTGCATGTGCTCCCCTCCGTCACCCTTCTCTAGTTTGCAATGTCTGCAAGCATGTTTCCCATACTTCCTATGTCTAATTGCAGCCTTTCTAATTTCCTTGCAGTATAGCGGCACCTGGTATGCCATGGCAAAGAAAGATCCTGAGGGGCTGTTTCTACAGGACAACATTGTAGCCCAGTTTACAGTAGATGAGAACGGACAGATGAGTGCCACTGCAAAGGGCAGAGTCAGACTCTTTAAGTAAGTTGCTTCCATTCTTCCTTCTCCTCTTATTCTACTTCACTAAACTCCTGCTTTGCTTGCTGTTGCTCTAATCCTATCTGCTATCCCTGTGGTAAGTCACTCCAAATCTGTGCTGTTAGGTTTGAATGTGATGTTTTCTCTCTCCCTGGCTGCAGTAACTGGGATGTCTGTGCAGACATGATTGGCTCTTTCACTGACACAGAGGATCCTGCCAAGTTCAAGATGAAGTATTGGGGTGTTGCTTCTTTTCTGCAGAAAGGAAGTAAGTACTTAGCTATGGAAGATGCAGAGCTACCTGAGAGCCTAGTTATTGTTGTGTGCCCATAGTGGGGGAGAAAAATGCAGTGCTGGATTTCTTAACCACATTTAAAATACATAATAACAATCATAAAGCAAAGCCTTATTGTGAACAAGGTCATCACTATCTATTATTTGAGATAGCTGGTTAGTTTTCTATTATTTGAGATAGCTGGTTAGTTTTCTATTATTTGAGATAGCTGGTTAGTTTTCTTTAAACAAGTGAAGACTAGGCCTTTGTGTACTTCTGTGTTTCTTTTGTTTGTTAATGAACAGTATAAACTAAGGTCACTGTTGGGAAAAAATGAAGGGTAGATGAAACATCTGATGTCCTGTTTTAGTTCAGAGGTCAGTTATTGAATGCTTCCATTTTCTTTGAAAAACCTAATATCAGACTTGGTTTTCAGCAGCCAGCAGGGAAGAGAATTTTGCAACTGTTCTTTTGCTTAGTCTCGTGTGCAAATACGGAGATTTCCCTGCTTTAAGAAACAGATATGATCCAGTATGTGAGTGTGTGTGTGTGTATATATAGAGATATATTCGTATTTTCCAGTCATCCGTCACACCCTAGGCAAAATTAGCTTATTGAGCCAAGTAGAGATTTGCTCATAGTTCAAGACATTCCCGAGGATAGTTTCCAGGAGAAGCAGGTTGAATTTGGAAGTGACTGGAGCTCCATACACTCCAAAAACATGGAAGGAATGCTCTGGAAGGCAATTGTTTTTGGATTGTTGCCTAATCTCCTCACAGCACACTGCTGAATCATGTTTTCAGGTATACTCCAGATTGCTGGCTGCCCCCCCGCCCCGGCTCTGCCTTTGTAAAAACTGTGGTCTCCACCCACAGGAGAGAGGGGGAAGGGGGCATACACTGCTGCCTTCAGTAACAGTCATAGTGCAAAGGAGGATCTTTTGCTCCAGGAAAGTAAGGTGCAGAGATGGTGTTTGCAGGAACACTAGTTCCTGCAATGAACTAGTCCATTTCTATTGGCACAGGGTGTCTAAATGGCCTTAAATTTGTCACACTACCTAGCTAAATAGTCAAGAATACTCTGAAATTGTAACTGTGTATTGAGGAGATGGTATATGATACAGCCTGTTGCAAGTAAATTTCTAACACACACTTGCGGCAACTGCATGATGATCTTTTTCCACACCAATGTGGTTTATGCAGTGTCTCTAGCAGGAAGATGATAGCTCAGTTAGGAAGGTTCTGAGTAACCTGGAGCATGACCAGGAACACATTTAGATTTTCTGTTTATTTGTTTAACTTTTTGTGTCTAACACTTCCTCTTGTTTGGTTAAACAGATAAAACTTTCTGTGTACTTCATGGTAGCTACTCTAATACGTGGTTCTATTTTTGAGTTTGTTGCCACAGTTTATAATGATGTTCAGGCACAGATTTACAAGAGGCTTATTAGCTTCATGCCACTCCTGTACTATGCCCATGCTAGAGGAGAAGCCGTGGTTCCAACAATCTCCTTTTCACCTCTCCATCATTGTCACAGCTGACTCTGTCCCTAACGGATATGCTTATTTTCTCAAAAAAAAAAAGAAAAGAAAAGAAGAAAATTGGAATTAAATACTGGACGTAGGAATAGGAGATAATTTGCTATCATTCATACCAAACTTTGTGGCCTCTTTTACAAAGTTATGACAGTGATCTCTTTAGATTGACAGGATTTTATTTACCTCTCTGTAACTCCTTTTCTTCTTCGCTATGGTTTCTTCCAGATGATGATCACTGGGTAGTGGACACAGATTACGATACTTATGCTCTTCACTACTCCTGCCGCCAAGTAAACGAAGATGGCACCTGTGCTGATAGCTATTCCTTTGTGTTCTCCCGGGACCCCAAGGGACTGCCCCCAGAGGCACAGAAAATTGTCAGGCAAAGGCAGGTAGACCTCTGCTTGGACAGAAAATACAGAATTATTGTTCATAATGGTAAGAATATTTTCTTCCGAAAGATTTATTTCAGGGTTTAATGGGAGTCTTTTGCTTATTGAAGTCGCATAATTGGTTGCTGTAATACTATCTTTTGAAACTGGAGTTCTTAGAAAGTTCATTCCAACTTTTACTTCCCTTATCTGAAGGAGAGTTAAGGTGTATAGCTTTTCATGTGGCATATTATATCAGTTGAAACAATAATTAGAGGAGGTTGTAAAGTGATTGAATGAGTGCAGTATGAATAAACATAGTAAGGATAAACTTCACAGTGACTGTAAAGAGAAATTGTATCTCTTTATCAGAATTCTTTATCTTTCTTAACAAACTAGTTGCTGAAAGGGATAGACTATTATCTCTATTTTCAAAAATGTCTTTGAAATATCCTTCACTAGAGGCTTTTAAGGAAAAACAGAAATCTTGGAAAAGATAAGGGTGCCGATCTTGTATCAGTGGGGTTGTCCCCTTCTCACAGGTCCTTATGCCCGCCTCTTCACAAAGGGTTATGGAAGAGGAACATACCTCTTGTTTTGGAGGTATAACCTTATCTTGAGAAGTATAGTCAGGCTGAGCTTACAGCGTAGGGAGACATGCAAATTGGCTCACTCTATAGCTTGTCTTTACCTCCTTGTGTTGGGTGTGTGGGGCTGAGAAGCTGCAGAGAAGCTATGGGGCTACATTTGGAAAGTATACCTTTCCAGCACCACAGAATGGTGCAGGAGGTCAGAACAGGGGAAGGGAAGAGTCAGATTCCTTTTATTCCATCCAGTAAATTGTGCCAGTAAAACGGAGAAGAGAAAGTTCAAAAGCGTATTAGAAAAGGCCAAATGATGATTTATGTTAGTTTAATCAATGATCTGGAAGACAGCATAAAATACATACTGATAAAGATTACACCAGACTGGGGAATAGTAAAAAATGAGGAACAGATCAGAAAGAGCCATATGGTATACAGGATGCAAGAACAGCGGGGTTTTTTAATACAACCACAAGTAAAAATATATTTAGGGTGAAGAAAACAGTAACTCCCCCCTTGCATTCTGGAAGATGAGATATCTACAGAGGACTCAAGTGGCTAATTAGCTGAACGTGAGCTCTCAATGTAATGAACGCTATGGCGAAAAGAGTTCATGTGGTTCTTGGATGCATAAACAAAGGATATCCAAGATGAATTTACAGACTTTCATGAGACTGTTGTGCTTAGCATAGGTCTGCTTGCTAGGTCATGTTTAATGATGCTGATAACTGGAAGGGGTAGTGAGGATAAATTAGAAATTTCAAAGAAGAAAATTTCTAGAATGCATCTTCTAGTGAGATCAAAGAGCTTGATATTTTTCTCCTCAGAAAGAGGTTAAAGGCTGACCTGAGCAAAGTCTGTGCTTACCTGCACAAGCAACGGGAATTGGATAGTAAAGGTTTTGCAAACATAGGAATAATAAAATAAAATGGCTGGAACTTGAAGCTGGACATATTCAGAGCAGAAATAAAGAGCCATTTGTTTAACTCTAAAGGTCATTAACCTTTGGAACAGTTTACCAAGAGCTGTTGTATGTTCTTCATCACTGAAATCTGTAAATCAAGATTAAAGGCTTTCCTAAATGACATGTTGGAATAAACTGGGATTGACTGAGGGAACTCTCGTGTATTATAAAGAAAGTCAGCACAGTCAGCTCTTGTGCCTCTATTGTCTGTTCATTTGACCTATAAACAGAGAGTAATATATTGCCATGTTGTAAAGTAAGTATGCTGATAATATGGTGCCTGAAAGATCTACTAAGGTAGGTAGTGTTGAGTACACTGATTAGCGAACTGGAAGAACTGCCTGGCAACAATGAAAATAAAAGTTTTTGTCTTGAATGAGAATTTGCAGGCAACATAAAAGTATTTAAGGCAGTCAAGATTAAGCGACATCATAAATGCAAATGAAATTGGCTTTTGAAACTACTCAGTAATAAAAATTCGAAGGAAAATCTTTAACCACTCATATGCTGCTGAGTTCTGAATTATATGTTTGGGAAAGACATCTGTGTGATGCAGTGGGCAGTGTAACAAAAATGCTGCTTAATTTTTAGCAGCCATCAAAAAGTGAATCATGTATTTGATTGCCTAAAGACTAGGACAGAAAATAACTAATGTAACTAATGTCATATAAATTGATGGTACTTTCTTTTCAATACTGCAACTGCGCTTCAAATGAAGAAAAGCAGGAATAAAAAGTTCAGAAGATGAGAGAACAAAATAATGAGATGATTAGGCATTTTTTTGAATGAAAGCAAAGATAAAGTTTGGATTACAGTTCTTGTGCTGCGGCTTTGAGAGGTTCTGTGTTAAGGTAGTCCCCTACATCTCTGTCAAACCCAGAGACAGTATTATCCTGCTATTAAATCAGGATGTTGGACTAGTCTGAGTACTGGTCTGATTCAGCATGGTAGTATCTGTGTTTTTATTATTTCCACGCTATACAAGGCTTGCAAGGCAATAAATGTATTGACAGTCTTTGCAAGAAAGTGCAAACCAAAAGAAAAATTAGCTTTATTCATTTATTCATAATTTGTGATACAACTTTGTCAGATATCTCAGAATTTCTATATAATAGAAAGGTTGTATTTTTCACAGATTATGGGAACGATAGCGTAATTCAAATATAGAAGCTCAGAATGTTTTTTGAAAGTTCAGTGCCAAATATACTTTGACTGCCCAACCTTCACTTAAAAGCTGATCATGCTACTTCCAATCTGTAATAGAAATATCAAACCTACCAAATTGAATTAAGCGCTATATTCTTTGTCTGCTATTCTAATTTATATTCAGGTGTTAGGTGTTGGGTACAGTGTCTAATAAGACTATTTGAGTCCCTTAACTGTTTGTAAATGAAAAAAAGTTGTCTGGATCCTTAAGGCTGTCTGCTTTCTTATTGAGGGTTATGCCAAATTTTATCTTTGAGCCTAGCACCAAAGTACAAACAAAACCTAAAGCCAGCTATTTGCATGCTTCCATTACTATGATCTGTAATTACCATGGTGTTAATTAATTCTGAATTCTCCAGTACCTTTAAGCCCAAGTTCCTGCAGATCAAATACATTTAGGAGAGAGAGAATGACTATGAGATAAAATGAAAAAAAAGTTTATTGAAAGGTTTGTATTAGAAACTCTTGCACAAGTCATTTAAATCTGTTATGTGTGTGATTGGAAGCCTTGCTACTTTATGTTTTAATTCTGCTACTAAGAGCTGCAGAATTTTTAGCAAAAAGGCCAACTTCATTTGTCTGTGTTGACCTGCATTCAGTTGTTATTGTGGTCAAATTCTGACAGAACTTAATAGCTTCTGCAAGAATAGCCTTATATCTGTTTCTCATTGTGCATGCTGAGCCTATGTGCTATGCTAAGCTAAATCTGTTTTTCCCCAAGATTTGTTACTGGCTTTTTCAATAAGCACTGTACTGAAATTAAGTTCCCAAAATAAATAATAGATGTACAAAGCTTATGTTGGTGAAAAACCCCCAAACATCTAAAATAGCACTTCTTTGTATACTAGCTCTCTGAGGCAAAAGAAGCCTAAGAAAAAAATTTTGGATTGTCACTTATCTAGCGTTTCTAATAGCAGCTCCTTTCTAAATATGGATCAGGCTGTGAAACACTTAGGCTGTCAGAGTTCTAGCTCAATTGCTTGAAGCTCTGTGTGAGTGTAGATATCACACTTTAGCCTTCTAAGAATATTCCCAGTGACAGCAAAGACACCATAAATATTTACATTGACAGTAGGGCTACTTGTAGAATAAGATACTATTTTACTGTTACTAGAGTTAAAAATCAAATCTGCTGTTAGCATTTAGCAGAAGCAAAAATTCTGCATTAAACAGTGGTATATATATTCATCTAATCTACTATTGTCTTTGGGAGTTTGGGAGGGCAGAGGATCCTTACCTCTTTGAAACACATTCTTATATTAAAAAAATCATAAATTACAAATATTTTGAGGCTTTTTAAAAGTAAATAAAATAACTCTTTACCACTGATCTGTCTAGTACCTTGTTTGTCAAAGTATTAAAATGATCAAGACAAATGTAACAGATTGGATGAATTCCTCTTTTGTCTTGAATTCAAAATTCTTTGGAATTGTATACTGTAGAGCTAAGTATTTGCATATGATTATAAGTAACAGATATATTTATGTATGTGTGTGTGCATGTATATGTATAATATATATCATATAAATATAGTATACATATTTATATATTATATATAAATATAAATGTGTACAATTTATAAATATATATTTAAATATAAATACATTTTAAGCTTAGTAAAAGCTTGGATATTTTAATTTTTCCAATGTTGTTGAAAAATAAAACTTTGATATTTGTGTGTTTCAGGATTCTGCTCTTAGAGATCCAAAACTATGGATGGAAATCATATAACAGCAGCATGGATGTAAAGTTAACACATTGATTAAGTGTTCTGTTGAAAAGCTTTTAAATGGCTTCATTTAGATCTTGAATATATTTATCTGAGCTGTGTAGCTCACCTTGTCAATAAACCAATGAAATAAACTTGGATTACAGGGGATGCAAATTGTTTGTATGCACATCTGTACATATGTAGATATTGGTTTTATTAGTAAAACATTATCTTAATGTACTATTTTAAATTGGTGACAGATGGCAATAATTAAGAACATAATATTTCTTATTTATCAGTTTCAACTTTTGACTAATATCATTTTAATTAAAAAAAACTGGCATTAACTTTCTAAAACTTTTAATTTCCTTCCAAATATCATGTCATTTTTTTTTCTAGAAAATATTGGAAATCATTTCCAATACCATTTTAGAAAGGAGAAAGGAATTTCACTGCCGTATATATCACCGATTTATTAGATGACTATTGAAGACGTAAAAAATATGCATCTTTTTAAAAGAACCTTTTACACTTACCATAAGTAAACTTTTCTTTATTTTTTAATTTTTGAAGTTCAGAAAAGTGATCATTTGTTAAACTTGATATGCAACCAGAAATGTTCATTCACCTGATGATAATGTATGTTTATGATCTCGATGTTTTCTTCATGACATGAGTTAGTTCACCCAAAACTACATTCAGGCAGTCAGTTACCTAGCTTTATATGCAAGTGCCTTTTTTTGGCATGTATATTTTTGAGGAGGCACGTTTACACTAGAAAGTTGATCTCTCTTACTCAGTGGAAAAGAAAGATTAAAAATGGAAGAGATCTACTTTTGATAGAGTTTACTATAACTTTATTACAGTTAATGACAATTATGGCAGCTGCAAATGTATCCTAACAGAATTTAATTCTTCCAGTAAGAACTTATTTCGGCTATTTTACATTCACCAAGTTCACTGCCGTATTTCTGTTTATTCCAGTGTAAGTGGAGAATTCAATCCATTGGATTAAACTGCATTACTCTTACTAAGGCAAAGCAATGAAGACAAGAGAATTTTACCTGCAGGAATTAGAAATACAGATTTATCTGTTTTTGTTTGTTTATTTGTTTGTTTTTTCCCTGTGTGCCTTCTTTAGCATATAATACTATACAATAGTGACCTGTTCAGACTGGGATAGTGTAGAGATTAACATCTGAGGCATGGCATGGCTCAGACTTTAAATAATTATCTGGAAATGAAAGACAAATTAGGTTGTTCACGGTTATTTCCTCGCACAGTGGTTTCTGTGCCCGCCCCATTCCTTACAGGGCTCCCTGTACAGCAGAGAAGGATTTCCTGACATTTGCGTCTGAAATGGGCAACATTATACAAAATTGGATTGACAGCAGAGTTGGCAAAAGTGAATGACATTATCCAGAAAAAAACTGATGGCAAAATATGCAAATCTTGTTTGTCGTTCTGGACTAAAATTAAAAGAATAGTGATTATAATTGGGCTCCACATGATGAAGAAAGAGATCATCAATACAAAGAGGGCTTGAAATAGTCTGTAATCTTGCTGGGAAACACGAATCTGATGATTTTCTGAGTAGGCTAAGCCAGCATTTAAACTCCTTCTTGAAGCTTTTGTAATCTGCAGTAAAATAGAAGAAAGTGTAACTTTCATTGAAACATGGGAGAGCTCTTAACACATTTTTACAGGTGCAAAAGTAAATCTTGGCACAAAATGTTTATATTTTGAAAAGTGAGTATAGAAAAGTCATTACAGAGTTTCATTTTTGTTTTTTGTCAGTGGTTCCATTTCAAACGTTCTCAGTCTACTAGCTGGATTTATTTTCCCCTCACGTGTAAACTCAACCTCAACATCAGTCAAGCTGGTTGTTCTCCTCATGCGTCTCCATCAGCCATAAATACTTTTCAGTTCCAAATAGGGCCTTAATTACTCATGAAATTCCATTGACTTCAGATTGTGACCGCGTTTGTTCTGTATAAATAAACCCATTGATTTTTTTCACATATGTAAAATGAAACAGTTAACAATCCTGTTGATGCACAAGAAGGAATAGAATCCAGTTCTCTGTCTTACAGCCTTGCTGACATTATTACAGCCTTGCTGACATTATCAGGTAAAAAGAAGCATGAATTCATTACAGTTTCGAAAGTCATGGTGTATTTTAAATCAGAGAGATTTTATTTAAATTTCAGTGTAAACTCTTAGTTTTTCAGTCAGTAATCAGAATTGCTTTCTATATACTAACCTGCAATCTTACAGATCCTTTTGCTTTACTATGAAAATCTCTACATGTTTTGTAAAAGTATGGTCTGATGTAATAAAACAGACCAGGCCTAGCAATAGTTCAGGAAGTGGAAAAACCAAGCTCTGTGTCCTCTCAGACCCCATTGTTCAAAACAAATTTACCATATCCAAAATATCCTCACCAGGAGGCTTTGTACCACTCCCACAGAAGTACTCTCCATCTTTCCTGCTGGAGCTGCATAGGGTAGAACTAAGAATTCAAGAATCAGTAGGACTGCAGTAAATAAGATGCAGCTGCATCTTTATAAAGTGCTCACCTGAAATGGAGTGTTAGTAATATATTTTGAATTCCTTTCTGACCTGCATAGAAATAAGGAATCTTGATACCTACAGTGGGCATCTGGACCACTCTCTCAGGACCAGAAGCTTAAGTCATATATATATATACAAGTACATAACCTCCAGAAGATCAACAACTTTACAGGTTCTAGCCTCTCCTAAATCCGCATAGGTTGTGTGTTGCCTGAGAGAGGGAACAGTGGAAAAACAAATGGCTAATTACAAATTATGCTTCTGATCTGTCATTTTTGCTAGTGTTCTGGGCAGTGTTATGCAAAAATAATAGTCAATTTCAGATTAAATTGAGCTACATTTGTAGAATACGTTATCAAATTGGAGGTCTGTATCTGTGGTGAATCATCATCCTAGTTCCTCTGTTGTCTGAATACAACTAATGCTTTGAACTGTTTCCAGTTTAGCATTTTACTCAGTGTACACTGGCACCATGGAGCGTTCTCATGAAGTTAGAATGAATCTGGTTTTGGGAATGACTCAGGTATTAAGATATTTTCCAGCTGAGTTCTGTTTGCTTCCTGAAGAGCTGTGTGAAAGAGAAGATTCAATTACAACAGATGGGATCCAGCTATGAGCCTTGTTCCTTTTTCGGTTCTAGGGAAATGCTAACACATTTTAGCATTTTTATGATCAAGTTGGATGCGAGCACAGCAGTATGGAGCTGCTTTGTAATCCAGTCTTCAAAACACTGGTTTTGGTCTTTTAGCTCCCTACTTGCCATTTTGCTTTCTAAATCTACCTGTCGTAACCTGGAGTCTGCAAGGACAAGAGGAACATCATTCTTGTCTTGGTCTCTGACCAAGGACTGTAGCATTCTTTGGTCTCCAGTTTTTTGCAGTTCTTTCAAAGGGCTCTGAGTCCCCATGGAGTTACTGTATGTTCTTTGTCTATATAATTTGCCTAAATAAGAGGTTGCAAAAGTCAAGAGCTTTACTTCATTAGACAAAGTTCAGCTAATGCATTTACCTCAAGACTGTGATAAGGGTAAAAGTGTAGAGAGCTGATGATTTTGACTATGAGCTTGAGCCTGATCTATAGAGAAGTACATGTGAAGCCTAAATTCTCGGTTCTAAGCTGATAGAGACACCTATGTGAAGCTCTGGTTCATGAGCCCACAGCCCCTTGGTGCTCAGCATTTCATCAGTTAATTCCCTGCTCAATAATCCATGTATTTGAAAGATCCCTTTCTGAGGCCCATAATTTTCCTTCTATGTAGTATGAGAAATTTCATTAACTAATGCAACAATCAAGAATCCTTTTGAGACAGGTGCTGAAAAATTGGTGTTGCAGCACTTAGTCTGAAGATTTCTAGCTCTTTTCTCACTCTCTGTTTTGGAAGAGGAAGGCATTTGAAATTTTTTGTAAGGAATTTAGGTATCTAATACCATGCTTGCCAGAATACAGAGTAAAACTGCAATGCCTGATGTCTAGCAGTCAAGTAGTCAAGTCTAATATTTAAGCAGTCAAGTGACATCCACTCAGAAAAGAAAGTGGAAGCAGAGCATTTGATTTACAGCTTTTGTTTGCAAAGTTGCTCTGGAAGTTGTGCAGAAAGTGTATTCTAATGAACATGCTAATAGGATCTGTGTACTAAAGATGCATGCAAAAAGCAGAAAATCAGTAGATTGTTGTTTCCAGTCCTGCCCTTTTTTGCTTTCTTATAACTCTCTTTTGAGTCTCTGGAGTAGAGGCTCAAGGAGTGCAAAATCTAGTTTTTAGTTATTTCATATGCTTGAGTCTTTAAGTATTTAGGAGATTAACAGGCTTTAATTATGATCATAGAAACAGAGAAGAGTATTTAATACTGTATCTGAATGAAGACAAACTTTATCTCGGGCTTTGTAATGTGCTGTTCAAGCATATACTCTTAGTTGAAACATGCAGGCTGGCCTCATTTCATATCACATACTTATACTCTTGAGGGGCAATTGTATTCTGATGATAACACATTGATGCCTAGAGAGTTGCTAGTTATTTCTGTTAGTTCTATAACCAAGTGTAAAGGAAAAAATACCTGTAAAATTTTGGAATAACTGATGACAATGATTAATCCTGGTATTAAAAAGACAATGATGGTGAAGGCCACATCCCAAGCGATTTCTCCTGCAATGCTGGGCCAAAGTAAGGTGCAAATCTGAACCTCCTGTTCACAAAGGATGAAGAAGAAAATTAACATTGTGCAGTTGTTTTTACTGGAAAGTTGTCCTTATCTCTCTTTATGCCTGTGGAAAGTGGCTGCAATCTAAAAAGAAACTACAAAAAGTTTCTACTCAAACAGAGCAGTCATTTAATATATTACTTAATGTTTTAAAAATCCCATATACTTATAAGTGTTGTCCACAATCTAATTACTGCCATAAATTTCATATCAAATGCTAATGACAACTTTAAAACAGAAATGTACAGGCTGGAGACTAAATAATGTATGCGAGCGTCACCTTGAATGTATTTTTGCACACATTTCAAAATGCTGGACAGAAAAAACAAGCCCCCTCTGCTCGGGGGAGGGGGGCGATGACAGGAGGCCGGTTCACCCAGCCGGCACGGCCCTTCTCCCAGGCGGCCGCGGGGGAAGCGTGCTGCAAAGGGGATTTCCTAGCCAAAAATCTCTGTCTGTGTTTGTACGTATTTCAGGATCTAACAGGCGTCCCCACCGGGGTCCCGGCTCCCTCGGTGCCCACCCCGCAGGGCGCTGCCGCCTCCTGGGTGCCCGGCTGCCCGGAGCACCCT